ATGAATTTGATGAATTTGATATGGTACCAGGGTGAACAACTTCTAATTTATGTTTTCTTTGAGTGTAATTGGTTGAAAGTAACTCAGTTGCATTCTAAAGTTTGGTCAAAATTGATCCAAAGGCAATTTCAAAGAAGGCAAGGTGCCAGCTAGGATGCAGAATGCAAGCCATTACTAGAGTTTCACATTTTAGTGCTTGTGATAAGAATTCATTGACTCAAGTGAGCATTGCACAGCGCATTGGATAAAAAAGGTCTTTGGTTGCTCCATCTTCTTCAAGTTTCTTCTTGAGTTTTTGTTGAAGAAGATAGTATTGAGATATATAGATCAATCCAGTTGGACCTTCACCCTCCATCATTTTTGTAAGAGAAATGAAGGGCTGAGACCCAGTACAAACAGTATCAAGTTAGATTAATATTGTATTAAGTTGAAGTGTGCAATTTTACAAGTTACATACCTTGAGCTCATCAACAAGTGATTTGATCAATCACCAATCCTCGGTGCTGAACTCAATCCCATTCAATGTTCCCCGCTTGTGATCCTGAAATAGGTCACAGAGGCGGGGTTGTTTGTTTGCTTCCATTTTTGTTTGTTTGAGACTCGATCTTCTTCAAGAACCTTGTCGATGACCTTTGTTTTGGAAATTCAGCATGATCTACAATTGTATCTCAGTTCAATGATAATACAGATATTTGAATATGTACATTCCAAGCTTCCCAAGCACGCTCCCAGGACATGCATCTGATATTCATCCTTATACCATAACCTGCCATCAGGTTCCTCACACTTACACCCTGCTTTTTGCCGATAGCCTTGAAAAGTCGGCGCAGTGTACCAGAACCTGTCATGCGGCGACAGACAAATTCAATCTATCAAGAACATACCAATTGAATCAGCTGTTTGGGATCATTAAAAGGAAACAAGATAGCTTTGATTGATCTGAGATTGTCAAAAACAAAACAACATACTTTTTTTGTGAGATTGCTAAGTCAAGTGTTTGGAATTGTATTGAAGGTACTTGTAATCAATGCGGGTGGTTGAATCGGCTCTGGCAATCAAGACCCATTGTGATCATCATTGTTATAATCCAAAACCTACATTAAGATCATCAAAATCGATCTCCTCCTCATTACAATCTTTGTTCAGCTCGTTTTCACAACCATCCTGATGTATCTCACTTTCAAATTCCTGATCAAGAGCGTTGACATCAGATTCATCTTCTTCCAGGATGGTAGCAAGAGTTTTGTGTACAGGGAAGGAGCCAAGATGCACTTTCTTTGTTGATTTTGATTCAGGAGGAGTGATTTTGATTGCTTTAAGCCCAGATTTAATGATGAGCGCGATTTGATGACATATACATTGGATATGCATCGTTTTTGCCTTCCATTCAAAGTCTTTGCCAGAATCAAGCGCAATTTTAGACAACCTTGTTTCCATTTCCCTTGCCATTGTAAAGTTGTTACCACCCAAATCCGTTGTCTGAGACAACATGTGTGATTTGCAAAAGATTGAAGTCAGCAAGTCATTCAAAACTTACATTATGAAGAAGATCAACTCATCTTAGGATAAAGTTTATGTTTTTTGAGAAGGTTTATCAATGGCTCTGCAAGCCACTTGCCGTTGTGATACCACACAATGGGTTTGAATCCAAGATGTTGAGAGACATACTCCCAATTGTCATTGATGTAAGTTATAGAATAGCTTGAGAATCCAAATTGGCTCCCCTTACTTGTCCAGGCATCCTGTATAATTGTAAACTTACTGGACACATTCTGGCATGATGTTTGGATGTAAGTAGAAATAAAGGAAATTAGTGATAGATTGATAACACAGGATGAAAGTTTGATACTTACAGCCAGAGAATCGAATAGGGCTTTCTTTAAAGATACATAAAGTCAGTGACCTTGAGTTGCAAACCAAGTCTGACCATGAACTTCATCTTCTGGATTGGTGTATCAGAAGGCAGCTCGTAGCATGCAATTTTCGGCATGCGTCCAAGGTACTGATTTGGAGACCATCCATAACACCGAAATTTGATTGAATGTCTTGTTATCAAACTGGCCAACTTTCTGAGCCAAAGTCACACCAGGCTCATCATCATCAATACCCTCTTCTAGTTCTTGTAGTTCAAACACTGTTGGTGGAAGTCGAGCTCCAGCTTCAATTGCTTCGATTCTAGCTTTACAACCTGGTTTTCCAGACTTTGACCGCTGAGTTGAGCCATCCCAAAGAGCCAGTAAATTTGTGTCTGAATCTGAAGCACCTCAAACAAGAGTTGGTTCACTGTTTGGTTGCTTGCACCAGTTGCACTTAAATGAGTTACCAACACATTTGAGATCCTAGGTTTTGTCACAGCAATGATGATTTGGAGAACCATGATTGAAATTGATCAATTATACAGAAAAAGACTAAGAGATTGAAAAAAGTGGACCAACATCATTTCCACCATGAATTGACTTTTCAAAGTAAAGGCTTATATTATCAAAGGGAGTTTTTGAGCTGCTGGAAGTGTGTTTAACTTTGGAATTCTTGTCATCTGAATCTTGACAAAGATTGATATCTTCAGGCCAAAGGATAGATTCATGTATTGGTTGTGGCTATATTGGGAAGATTAAGCAAGGTATATCAATACATGTTCATTCAAATTCTAAGAGGATCAATGAATAAAGCTTCTTACACTACACAAAATGTAATCTTTACCAGGCGGTAAAGAAAACTACTGACATAGAAAAATCCTGAGGCAACAGGAAGAGAGCTAAAAATCTGAAAAAATGTACACCTTGTTCCTAGATGTTGGGGTGTCCTGATGAGTATTTTTTTGTATTTTACACACAGATATTGGTTAATGTACTAACAATAAAGGCTGAGAATCATCAAAAACTCACCTGTAACAATACCTGAAATTTGGCCCATGATTTTGAAGACAGGATTTTGAAATTTTCAAACATCAATAACTTTTGCATTTCTGAATCAAATCAGTCGATTTTGAGTTCATCAAAAAGGTGAGTCTTTCCTCTACATTTATCATTGAGACATCACATCTGTAGCTGCTCTGCAAAAGATCCTACAGAGCTACTTATTCAGAACTGTTTGAGCATATGTAGAGCGGTTACATGACTAGATAACACCTTACTACCTTTATGAAGTCTGAAGGAGAATAGTTCAGCTTTTGAATGAACTAAAAATTGAGTTATTTGGAGCAGAATTGCCAAAGTTATTGAAGATTTTAGACCACAAAATATTGTCTTCATAATCATGACCCAGATTTCAGGTATTGTTACAGGTGGGTTGTTGATGATTTTCCAAACTTAACAAAGTCCCTTGCCAAAGGCCCGAGCCCCAGCGAGGGACTTACCGCATAAACTGGAATCCTGGTGTGAGAAGTGAGCTGTATTTGCTCCAAATTCTCTACATCTGTTTGTTTTTTTTGTCTCTCAATAAACATGTCTTGCAACAAAGAAAGAAGAAAATGGCAAGGGACCATTACATATGTACCAATTGCAACCTCCTTTCTATCTTGCTGGGAAGTTATCTTTTTGAGTAGTTGAAGATCAATCATTTTGACCGCTTTCTGAGAAATACAGGCTTTGAGCCGGCTCGCCGCTGCTGAAAAATGAAAACAGACCCATTTTTGATTCCCCAGTAGCCCAAGTTCCAGACCAGATTTGGGGGAGCTTGCAATTGGCTCATATGTAATGAATATTTGCAATCATCCTTTTATTTACCTCCGAGACCTGTTTATTTAGGAACAAATCAAAGAATTCAAAGTAGTGTTTTTTGTGCCAATACAGGCTACTTCTCACACCAGGATTCCGTTTTATGTGGTAAGTCCCTCGCTGGGGCTCGGGCCTTTGGTGAGGGACTTTGTTAAGTTTGATGATCTTCAGCCTTTATTGTTAGTACATTAACCAATATCTGTGTGTAAAATACAAAAAAATACTCATCATGATGCCCCAACATCTAGGAACAAGGTGCATATTTTTTCAGATTTTTAGCTCTCTTCCTTTTGCCTCAGGATTTTTCTATGTCAGTAGTTTTCTTTACCGCCCGGTAAAGATTACATTTTGTGTAGTGTTACCTGGACTTTCTGTTTTGCTTTTTTGGCTTGTACTGACTTTTGTCGAGTCACTTTTTTCCTTGGTGTATTTTTTTTTGAGTCTTTGAAGTATGACCACCAACATTATCATTACTTAATGCAGAGGCTGATCTCTGTTGTGATTGAGTTGTGGTCTGTTGTGAATTTGGTAAAGTAGGTGATCCGACTTGAGGTGAACTGAGTCTGGTGCTAGGAGCTCTACTCAAGGCAATTTGTGATGAGCGTTGACAAAGGACAGTTGGACGTGAGGTTGATTCTGCTTGTGTAGGGCTTCCAGAAGGAGAAGAGGACATCATTGTTGGAAGGCTTGAGTATTGGTGGTAAACAAGGATATTTGATGATTGATTTTGTGACAAACAAGTTCAAAATCAGAAGTAGTACTTTACTCTACTATACTGTAATTTTCAATACTTTACTCACCAAAGTAAAGTATAGAAAAGGGCAGTCCAATACTATACTTTCAAAGTTTAGTATCAGGAACTCAGTACTATACTACAGTATCACAATACTGTATAATATAGTGGCAGTGTTGCAGAGACCATGCATCCACTGAGAATCGTGGGGGCAGCATCACAGCAGATCTGGCAGATTATCCAAGAAACACCCTCATCATTGCTTTGAAATATGTAGATAAAGTGTTGAAGGATTATGCCAAAGATTGTAAACATGTATATGCACTTGCAAGGAGAGGTGTTGGTTAAGTGCACCAGGCCCTACTATATCACCAATCAGAAAGAAGGCAAATACTTTTGTAAAACGTATCATAAAATCGATCTTTGGGTATCAATCACATCCAATCACAAAAGTGGTCATATACAAACCCACACAAAACAACCCAAAAAATGAATAAAGTTCCAAAAAGAATAAACATTTGAAAATCTAGGAAGAAAGGAACCAATGAAGTTCAATGAGAGTGCAGTTTTTTTCTTTGTCGGTTTCTCCAAGCCGGGATAGCAAATTTAATTGTCGGATAAAGAATCAAAAGAGTAATTGCCAAAGTCCAGAAAAGTTTCACCGGCTTTGGCATAGGCTCAGGAAATTCGCCTTTCGACCATTTGACAATGATCAGCGATTCCAGCTTTATAAGTCGCAGGGTATCAAAACAGCCGCTAGTCAATAAACCATCTCCACCACAAGACCCGAGCAACCTGTCCATAGCCCAAATGACATTACTCACAAATATTGTAGCCATTAGTAACCACGCATGGGAACCCATTCTTTTGACTCTCTTGATATATGTAGCGTACTGTAAGAATGATCAAACAAACGGGAGAGATATTAATCAAACTGCGATGAGTTGATACCAGACACGGCCGGCTTACGTCATAGAATTCTCGAACTGCTGGCAAAGCCCAGAGAAACATCGCTGCCAGTCGAATGATGACGAGCGGGTGCTCGGGTGCGATCCATAACAATGATTTGAGCTGTGATGGACACCAGAATGTGTCAGTTGGCAGGGTAGTGTCACGCTGATAGAAGACCTTTTGAACGCACGTAAAACACGTTCAACTCGGACAATAAGAACACCGTCAAGAGTGCCACCGTCGATATATAGCTAGAGGATCAGCAGGGAGAGGCGGATCATCCTAATCAAATTTCTGATTCCATAGCTTCATTTGGGATTTACGATAAATTTGATATATGGACTGACTTGCGGAAATGCTTGGTACCTTCCCACCGAAATTCGGTCCAATCATAGGGTGTGAATTGTTTAGCAGCATCCTTTGCACGATGGCGAGTTTTCAACTTCAGTATACCACTACTACTTGATGATGCCAGCTGATTGGTCGATGTAACTGAGGTGGCAGTAGGCCTCAACCCTCGCCAAGAAAAGGGTGAGACGCGGAGCCATTCACAAGTCTTCATGCCCAACCAAAGTCCACCCCAGTTGCATATCACTTAATTCCAGAGGGGAGTGGTCGATGAAGCTTGTATCAGAATTGTACCTAAAGCCATGTCATATTCATCAAACTTACAGACATCCAGGAGCCAGTGATCCCACCAACACTCCGCGAAGTTAGGTAGGTGATGTTGAAGTGAATATTCCATGATTTCAAAACCGATGCTAAGGATCCAGCAAAACCTGTCAGAAGGCCAAGGAAGAGAAAGCTCAATCAGCTAACTTTATCTTGTTTAGTATTGAATGGGCCCGTATATTTATCCATTTTGGTGTCAGCTATTTGAAAACCTTCATATGTGATTACGTCACCACCAGGTGATACTTCAATTAAGCATACAGAAAAATTGATCTTACCAATGGTCTCTGAGTACCACTGCCTTTCCAAACCATCCCAAACTGTGCGCCAGGCAGAAAATATCGATACCATCCCATACATTTTTTGGAGTAAATTCACAATTTTCTCCATAACTTTTCTCTGGCAAGGGCTTTCCCAGCGAAGGATCAAAGTATCGTACAAATTCGCGTGCTGTTGTTTTATCTGTCCAATATAGAAATGCCAGGACCATAAAATAAAGTAAATTCAAGCCCAATACAACGCGCCTAAATGAGTGCGAATAGCAACCAGAAGAATCGATCAGAAAAACGTAGGACTGGCAACAGCTCTTGTAAACCAACAAAGAATAATATCGGACACGACAGCAGACGTCTCTCACCAAAAGGCGGGGTGGGGTCTTCGAAAGGGCCCATCCCGAAAATTGAGCATGCAGAATACTAGAAAAACCAGCACGCCCGATATTACTCCTCTGTCATAGAAGAGTAGAGACAGCAGTCCAACAGGATAATCTATATCAGCTTATGCGATTCTTGTAAGGAAAGCAACATCTCCAGAGGCAATTCAGATAAAAATGTTTTCAAACGAACAGATGTGACCGAAAAGGTCGAGGAAATTTGTCGCTATTGTAAGCTAAGACTGCCACAACGGTGGCTCCGATAGCTGCGCCGGCCAGAGTGGGCGGTTGGTAAGCCCATTTGACAGAATCATCGTGCCTGCATCCAAGAAGTGCGATCCGAATCAGATTATGAACCAAGGTGCTTAAATTTCATCATCGTGTTTAACCTCATCTGATATGGTTCAAGTTTGGCGTTCGGTTGGCCGAAGAAAAACGGATTAGGATCCAGGCCTTCAGTTCCGGATAGTAAATTTTCATGATCGACGTCCTCGTCTGCAGATGTGAGATCTGAATGATGATGGTATGAATCTGAAGAGAATTCAGCTCTTCGTGCGAGATGAGAAGTTGAAGTAGGTCGTTCAGGCGTCAGGTCGTTCGAATCGGTTTTGTTGATTATTGAGGCATGATGTAAATTACTGGCCGGTAGACGGCTCGAAATCTTTCCCATGGTCGGTATCAAGTGAAGATAGGAGAGGCTGAGGCTGAGGAGAGGAGATGCTGAGGAGTCGATTGAAGTTGGGATTATCTTGTAACAAAGATATAAAATTGGGTATGATCGGAGATTAGGGCTGTGACGCGGCCCTGAGCGTGACAGGGCGCCCCGGGGGCTTCGCCCGGCCTTGGGCAGATCCGATGAGATCCAGAAATCAATCGGCCCAACCAGGTCACACCCAGAATTGTTTATGAGAGCTAAAAAGGACCAAAGGGGCAAAATTCTGACTTGTATTGTGTGTTTAGGTGCATGGAATGATGTATAAAACCTATGTCAGCCGCCTCAGAGCTTGAGAGAGCTATGGGGGCCTACTTTGTGTTTTTTTGAAAAAAATGTGGAGGTGATTCATTGTTCATTGCATATTACACTTTCTGAACAAGTTCAGAAGGTATTTGCATGATAGGGTTGCTGCCAAGAAGCGTAAAATGTTGGAGCAGGTATTTACAAAGAACCCTACTTCAAGAGAAGAATTTCTTGTGCTGTGAAAACCAAGTAAAACAAAGAGTTGGAGTATTCAATTTTCCACAAGGGATTGCCACCAATGCCAGGAATCCAATCGTACCCTTGGCTCATTGGATGAGTTTTGATTCTTCAGAGAAAACTTGCTGGTCCAAAATTTTATGCTTCTTGACACTAGCGACTATAGCCAACAGAAAAGATGACAGGTAACCTGCGAGGGTTGAGTACTTCTTTAGAGTACTCTAGGCTCACTATTGGAATGTGTATAGTGCGTGGAGGCAAGACCTTGGCAATTTGGGATCAAGTAAATACAGGTAAATACTCAATAAGTTGCCCTTTTGGCCCCGCCAGCTCAAATTTCATATCATTCAATCTGGTTGGATTCTAGTTTTTTCATCAAAATTGTTTGCTGCTCTTTCCTCTCGAGCTCGGTTTACTGTCCCAAGTCAACAAGCTCTTGGGTTGCAAGTTGTTCTTTTGCTCAACTTCCTATGACAAAAACTCACGGAGATAAAATACATTTCCCAAAGAAAATTGATTCTGCAGAAAAAAAAAAACAAGAAATCATTATTTTCCTCCAAAAAGATATGCAGGGATTGCTCTGGATGAGAGCAGTCCAAAAGCTGAGAAAAAATTGAAAAAGGTGATGTGTTGGTATAGATATACTCTTTTAAAAAAAAAACAAAAAGATATGCATGGAATGCGCTCTATGAGAGCATTCCAGAACTCCAATCAGCTGGTTGATACAATAGGTTTTGAGGTGTAGCAATCGTTTTGGGCCTTCTTTTGAATTTGACAACAATTTGACTCCACGCACTATAGTAGGTTTTTTATTAATGACAATGTATTTCAAAGGCAGATTTGTAAATACAATAAATAAATAAAGAAAGAAGAGGGACTAACAGTCTGTTTGGATAAATCCAGACAGACTACCGTTAGATGACTCCTAAAAAGGAGGTTTGGATTATAATTAAGCACTTTGGGACTTTGACTACAGTTAGATGACTCCTAAAAAGGAAGTTTGGATTATAATCAAGAATTATTATAAAGTAGGAAGGCTGGATCTAAGGCCCTCCTTTAATCTTTATGGTAACAGATTAAAGAGTGAGGTGTAGGTCACTAGTCTGGTTGTTCTAAAGTCACCAACTTGCAGTTGTTTGAAAGGTACACCGACCTGTGAGTTGATATAGGTCACTAACCTGCATTTGTTCAAGAGGTAACTGACCTGAAGTTGATTGGAAGGTCACTAACCTAGAAAGCGTCTACTCAGGGAAAGTAGATGATCCAGAACAAGGTGAAGGGATTACTACTTACTTTTAGTCAGGAAGCTGATTAAAGTTACAAAGTTATCACTAGTCTTATATTGATAAGACTCTTGATGTTACTTCAATAGAACTTTGATGCTGTTCTTTAAAAGTATGGTGTGATAATTTCTTGGGGGATTTTCTTGAAGGCCGAGAGGGGAGAGGATTATATACTCTTCTCTCTAAATCTAACTGCAGTGGTATTTGTTTGTATCACTACGTTGGTTTGGGGTTTGTTGTTAATAATTGTTATGATCATTAGTAATTATGCTTAATTACATATACATGCTAAGTATGTTATGTAGTGTAAGCATTTTAACTCTTGACACTCAGTCATGAGGTGTAAATGATGTTTTATTACATACTACATGTGGTTTTAAGTGTACATGTATATGTAATTGATATTTTTATGTCTTTTACTACATGTTACATACTGTTTATAGGCTGTATGTATATGTAATCAGTTTTATATATGATAATTCTATGTTACAATTTACTTTTGGGTACATGTATATGTACTCAGGGCTGACATAACCAGGCAGACCCAGGCAGACCCGGCAGCCAGGGTGCCAGGGTGCCTGGGTGCCCAGAGGGCTTTTATGATTTATTGTTCTAAGCTCTGAATCTAAGACCTTTTTGGATGTGTTTCACCAGTTGTCATTGAAAAAGAAAGTCATGAAGTTGTTGAAGGACATGATGAAGTCAAAATACAACTTATACAAACATGTATGTGACCTAATTTACAAGTCAATAACAAGCACCTAAAGGGCTGTTTATAGATTACTTTAAAAAAAATAGTGAGAGAGTGTGTGAGAGAGAACTAAAAGTTGATGGGTGCAAAATTAAGGATAAAATTTGGGCTGAACCCAAGTTGTTTAACATCATAAATTCTGGCCTAGGACGTGGTCTGAGCCTATCTAAAAACCCCGGCCCTGGTGCTTTCTAGGGTATCTGTTGGGTTCTGCTTTGGATCCAGGTGCCGGTCCGGTCCTTGAACCCCCAACTGCTGGGGAAATTGTTAGAAAATGGCTTGCCGTATGTGCTTAATTTTATGCCATTTGAAGGAGTGTTCAGCAAAGCGCATAAACCTATAAAGGCATAGAAAAGTACGCCACCAAACTCTATGCCCTTAGAGGGAGTGAACTGTATCAGATAAATCAGAAAAATTAAAATTTCATGATATCATTAGGGGGTTTCAAGTTCATTTTTTTGCGTAATTTTTATAAATTTGGACAAGTTGTTTGTAAAAAAAATCTTTGTAAAACCAACATATTTTTGTTCCGGGACACCTAAAAAGGTGTCCCGCTGTAAAGAATTCACACATGTTTTACAACAATGGGTTTTACAACAATGGGGAAGTTGTTGTAGGGTAAAAATGTGTGAAAACATTCAACTTGAAACCCCCTATCATATGTAGTCAGTTTGAGGTTTTTTAGTGCAAATTTGTATTTTTTCATTTTGTTATAGTCTTTGAATTTCTTTAATATTACATGAGTATCTTTCATTTCTTTAAACATCTAAATTAAATTTATTCATATGATAACATCATAATCAAGAACAAATATATATATATATATATATATATATAAGTTCAAAAATATAAGGAAATCAAGTTGGAAAACAGCTTTTAGAGTCTGATTATTTAGTATTATGATTCAAGAAGGTTACATTATTAAATAGAAGGATTGAAAATGTATGAGTGAATCAGAATATGATGGTTCACCTGTTGATAAAACTGATAGAAGCGCTGATGATAAGATAAAGGTGTATCTAACGCCTGCTCATAAGGATGATAACTAACCTGTTGATCAGATTGATTTATATGAGAAGGCACAAGTGAATGATGTGAGTACCTGATCTCAGTGAAAGGTAAAGTTCTCTTTCCCAAAGATATAATATTAATTACCTGATAGAAGCGCTGATGATAAGATAAAGGTGTATCTAACTCCTGCTCATAAGGATGATAACTAACCTATAACAACAAATAAACAAACATAATAACCACGACTATAAGTTTTATAAAGTTAGAAACGTGAAAGAACAAAATAATAATATACCTGTTGATCAGGTTGATTTATATGAGAAGGCACAAGTGAATGATGTGAGTACCTGATCTCAGTGAAAGGTAAACTACAATATATCAAGTGTTAGACAGTTCTGATCTAGGAATAAGGAATAAGAAAGTAGAAAGGAAAATTACGTACGTTCTCTTTCCCAAAGATGGGGAAAGAGAAACTAATACAAACGAGCTCATAGATTATAAGGAAAACATATTTCATCTAAATTTTGGTTGGGGTTAACGATTTTACCTCTTCTAACCGTATTACCACACTTCTTTCCGATAATGACATCATTCATGTAAATACCTCATTACATCATTTTCTTGTGATATGTAAGACTAATGTTTCATGTGATTAAGTCGATTGAACATTAACAAGGATCATATTAATTAGCAACAACTTTGATCATAACAATTGATTGGTGAGGAGTGAAGTTATTGAGGAAAGAAGCAACTCCCCAAAGTGATAAACAAGGGTATTACCAACACACAAACGCCGCGAAGCGCGCCGCAGCACCACCTCCACAGCGACAGCGC